GTCCTTACATAGGACCAGGTGCAGGTGCTGTAGCTGTAGGTTATTCTTTTAGATTGTTCTGTTAGACCAGCAACATCAATTCAAAATATGGCTTGGATGAGTGCTGTGCATCCACACTAGTAATTTGTCCTAGGTTAGCTGTGTCTGTGTGATCTCCTCGGGCTGTGTGTCCCTAATCTGACAGAGGCATGTGTTCAGCTCGTTTTATGAGACCTTTACAAGCTACTCCACATTCAAATGCAAATACTTAATAACCAAAGCTTAAGGATCATGTGATTCTTTAGACAGTAAATCTGGTGGTTCAGAGTTGTACACATATTTGGCAGATTATAGGTTTATCACTGACAGCTAATCTTTTAAAGAACTGTGGCTTAATTCCTTTTGTTAACTAATTAAAAAAAGAGAAAGAAGTTAAAGCTGTAATTAGACCTATTAAAACATGCATTACTCACTCAATGGTCCATACAACTAGGATAAATGTATAATTAAGAGGTTTGTCCAAACATGATTAAAGCTAGTCACGTGTTCTAGGCCATCAAAGATTTATATGTGTGTGAGATGGAGAATAAAGTCAATATGAAAATGTGACTATAAACTATGCCATACTTTCTAGAGAAAATATATGAACTATCTGTTGGCATATTATAAATATTTAACTCAAAGGCTTTTTTCAGATGAAGATTCTCAAAAGTGTTGTGTCACACCTAGAGCTTCTACTGGGCAGTGTCATTGGCAAGAGCAGTCAGACCAAGTCCATCCAGGATCCATCCTTCTTGCTCCCTGTGGCGTGCTGAGAGTTTAAGAAATTTAGAAGTTAGTAGGTAGAGTATTCCTGTTTGTGACTGGCACATTCTCTGAGGCATTAAGGCTTTGTAAAACTCATCCAAAGCTCATCTCTGTGTTGGGGGATTTGAGTTCTTTGTTATTTGGGTTGTTAGCCTTCAAATCACAAAGTGGTAAAGTTTTAAGCTTTAGAGCTAGAAGATATTTTTCCTTCCATATATGTAGAAGGGAATAGAAGAGCAGGTCCATGGGCCTTTTTCTACCTCACCTCTTTTCTCTGTGCACTTCTTCCTGGTGATGGCATCTCTTGAAGGGAAATTCCCAGGGAGACTGGGGCAGTTCCATCTCTGTCAGCCACCGTTCTTTCCATTAGTTAGTGGTTTATTGTACACTGGAATCTTCCCTGACATCAGCCCCTTTGGAGAAGGGGACTCAGAGCACCTCAGTTGTCCCCAGAGCCAGTAGCAGTTGCATTGTGTGGTTTGGTTGTTGCTGTGCTGACCCCTCTCCAGGTGTCCACATGCTCAGCATGGCTGTGACTGCCATAGTCTCTGTAGAACTTCAGGCTGAAGCACAGGCAGGGAGGGGGGTTTCTGCCATACCATTGCATCTCTGCAAACCAGGAAATGCTGGAAGCTCTGATGGAGGTGCAGACATCTCTGACATGACTGCTAACCAAAATTAAAGACATAAATAGTTTGCTGTAGTAGCTCTTGCTTCAGAAAACTTCAGCTGCAAGCACTGACTCTGAGAAAAAGCCACCGAAGCCTTGAGGTTGCTGGGCTTAACCTGTGGAAGAGGAATAAGCTCAGTGCCGAGAGCTGACTCAGATGCTTTCAATTTTCCTGCCAAGTGAGAACTATTTGCACACACGAACAAATTACAGAAGAGCTCCAAAGTAACACAGAAAGGAATAAGCCTCTCTAATACAGATCAATTTCTGCTTGGGGAAGGGTGAAATCCAGTTTGAAGTCGTAGCTGCCTCTACTGCTTTTAAGCAGGGATAATGCAGAGAAGAATTGGGCTGGTCTCAGCCTTTTTTGTCTCACTGAACTGCTGAGAATCCTGGGGTAGGATGAAGAGGGGAGAACACTTGGGCTGCTGCTGGGAGTCTCCTGCTGCAGGTGTGGAGGAGAGAAATGTATCCTCTGCGTGGGTAACATCTGACTTTTGTGTCATGTTTGGATACACTCAGAAAGGGCTCCATGTGGGTCCATGGAGATGCACACACACAGCAGCCCTTGCCTGTACTGCACACACAGAGCTTTGGGGACCAGTTTCTAGGTTGTTCATGGTTTGTCTGTGGTCCAGCTGAGTAGCAGCATAAGAATTCTGGAGTCGTCGTGTTGTTTCTATTTTTTTATTCCTATGTGAAATGAAAAGATGAGGCCTGGCTCAGGAAGAACTGTTTTTGTCTCGGGGAACTGCCCAGCCAACCCTGCTCAGAGATGGCAAAGACATAAGTTTTGAGTGGCTGTGATTAGAGATGGCAGATTGGGGGTTTCAGCTTTCTGTCACAAATCACTGCATGATTTTATAGGTTCCAATAGAATGCCTGCTACCCAGAGATGCAGAGAACA